TGATTTGTGTCCCACAATGTCCTTCAATGTGGATCCATTCACTGGACCCACCAGGAGTCCCAACCCTGTAAGACACTGTCTTTCCCCCTCCCAGCAGCTATCAATTGCCAAAAGTTCCTTAGGTTGGGCTGGGATTTCTTACCCCACTTGCTCAGGTCTATGCTGGGATTTTGTCTGATGTGAGCTTGCATAGGACTTGTGCATGCTGTTACCATTGCTGTGAGAACATATAAGTAACTGACTAGCTGTCTGAAAAACTCTGTTTCATTGTGGTCATTCACCCCCTCTGATTCTTATAATCTTTCTGCCTCTTCTTCCGCAATAATCCCTGATCCTTGGGAAGCAGGGGTTTGAAATAGCTGTCCTATTCAGGGATAAGTACTCTGTAGCCTCTTGTTTTCTGCACATTGGCTAATTGTGGTTATTTTATTTTTTTGAGACAGGGTTCTCTATAGCCCCAGCTAGCCTGGAACTTACTATGTAGACCAGGCTGGCCTTGATCTCAGAGATCCACCTGCCTCTGACTCCCAAGTGCTGGGATTAAAAGTGTATACCACCATGCCAAGCTTATTTTATTTTTAAATTATGTATGTGTGCATATCTATGTGTGAGTTTGTACATGTGAATATAATGCCCATGGATGCCAAAGGCATCAGATTCCCTGGAGCTGGAGTTACAAGTGGTTGTGAGCCATCCATTGTGGGCACTGGGAACCAAACTCAGGCACTCTGCAAGAGCAGTACACCCTTAACTGCTGAGCCATTTCTTCAGCCCCAAATCTCACCTTTCTTACCAATGAGATTGTTTAGTGTCTGTATACCACTTTAGGGTTTCCACAGTATCATTTTATATTGAAAGCAATCCCAGTGAGACTAACATGCTTAAGATCAATTAAGTGCTATAGCTCAGAGAGGCCAGAATGAACTCCTGAACCAGGTTTTCTAATGCATAACTTGTACTCTGTTTCTTTGGCCACATGACCTTCATATAGTAAATTCCAAACTGCTAAGAAGTTGTACACTATTTACAAAGCAATAATGTAAATCTGGGGTTGGTGAGAAGAGCTAATCAGTTCTGAACTTGCTGAATTGGAAGTGACTACAGGATCTTCAAGTGGAGGAACACGGCACAGGTCTAAGGGTGTGGACCTAGGGGAGGGTTTCAGTGTGTTCATGCAAGACAGAGCATGCTGTCTAGCTTTGGAGTGAATTTCTTAACCTAGCAGACTTGAGTACTATCAACGTAATGCAGATTCTGTAGTAGATGTCCTTTTTATTCTAGAAGCTAATTTTTAAACTTGGTCAAATAGGGCATGTGTCATCTTATAGGGAAAAGTTTATAGAGCAAACTGGATATGATATGGTCAGTTAAAGAACAGGATTTGAGAGCCTTGGGATGTAGCTCAGTGGTAGAACATTTAAGGCCCTCAGTGGTTACACACATAAGGCACTGGGTTCAGGTCTTCACACTGAAAAAAAGAAAACGGTATTTTATTACCATGGGTATGGAACATAATTTACCATGGGTATGGAACAATTAGAAATGAGTTATCTTATATAGCTGATTATCTAGAGTTCCAGGTAGGGAAGACAATAATGCATAAATCACCAGTATAGGCTGGTGGTGTGAGAAAATAATCCAGAGGTCTTTGAAAACTCTATTTATCACCCAGAGCCATACAACGTTAAAATCTAAAGCAGTGTAGGAAAGATAGCTCTGACTTTGCAAGTCTGCAACTCTCAAGCTTTGATACCATCTTCTCCCTGCTGAAACAAGTGCTTTAAGAAGTAAGGTTTGGCTGTTGCCACTCTTTCTATGCCAAAGCAGCTTCAGCTGTTCTCATTTTGCCCACCTCCAACCTGCTGCACCTTTGGCCTGGAAACCTAGCTCCATCTCTCTTCCCTAAAATCCTCTTCACGCCTCCTTCAGTGGCTCACCACAGATACGGCACCTTTCAGGAGTGCCTCCCTAGTACTCTGACACATTTTCCATCTGCTTTTGGATGAATACAGGGTTGTAGAACCTGTGGATATGATGGGCCAGCTGTAGTAGTGAAAACAGAGACAGTCTTATAATGGGGTCTTTTGAGTTGACGAAGCAGAAAGTCTCCCATTAATCCAGACAACAATATTGTGTTTAATTTTGACTTAGAGAAACACTTTCTTCCCATCTGTCTTAGTTCATTTCCTGTTGCTATAACTGAACACCATAAACAGAAATTTATAAAACATAAAGGTTTATTCAGCATTCAGCTCTAGACATTGGGTGACCGAGGGTTCAGGGTCTGCCTCTTGTGAGGGTCTTCTTGATGGATGGGTATTTTATAGAGTTCCAAGGTAATGCGGAGCCTCAGATGCCAAAAGAGCTGCATCCAAAAGAGCCAAAATTGCTCTTATAAAAGACCCACTCAGAGATAACCCATGAATTCCTCAATCCCTCAATTCAGTAATGAATTAATCTATTCATGAGGGCAGAGCCTTCATGCCCTAACCATCTCTTAAAGGTCCTACCTCTTAACTTCTCACCATAAGGGTTAAATTTCAATATGAATTTTTCTTTTAAAATTTATTTTTTATGTTATATGTACGAGTGTTATGTCTGTACATATGTAAGTGCACCCATGTGCAGTACCCAGAAGAGGGCATAGGATACCCTGGAACTGGAGTTACTGATGGTTGTTAGCCTCCATGTAGGTACTGGAATTCAAACCCCGGTCTTCTGCAAGAGAAGTCAGGGCTCCTTACTGCTGAGCCATCTCTCCAATCCCTAGCATGAGTTTTGATGAGGATTTTCTAACCATAGCACCATCTAAATTTCAAAATAAAAATCAAATAATTAAAATACATAAATAATATTTCAGATGTGAAAGCTTGTTTTCGCCAGGCAAAAATCATTTCATTTTTAAAGTTTTATCTTCAAATTATTTTAAATAGAAAATTTCACTTAGAGCTGGGTATAGTACCACAGGCCTTTAATCCTTGGGAGGCAGAAGCTAGCCTGGTTCCAGGCTAGCTAGAGCTACAGGGAGACCCCATCTCAAAAAGACAAAAAAAATTTTTTTAACTTAGGAAAAAAAAATCTTGTCTTAAAAAAACTGTATGGGACTAGACAGATGGCTTAGTGGTTAAAAGCACTGACTGCTCTTTCCAGGGGACCTGGGTTTGGTTCTCAGAACCCACATGGTACCTAACAACCATCCATAACACCAGTTACAGACAGATCTGATGCCCTTTTCTGGTCTGAGTGGAGCATTACATGCATGTGGTACACTTACATACATGCAGGCAAAACATTCATAATATATAAAATAAAAATAAATTAAAAATTATGTGTAAAAATTATGCCTTCCTCAAAAGACATATTTCTATGGCAAGATATTCTTAAGGCTGGGAGCAGTGGTGCATATCCCTGGAACCCCACTGCTTGGGAGGTTGAGGTACAGGGATTGTGAGTTGAAGACCAGTCTGTGCTGCATGGTGAGATACTATCTCAAAATATACGCAACCCCCCACCCCCCAAAAAAAAGAACAAAAAAGAACTTCTTGGCACCATCAACTAGTTATTTTTCTGAGCAAAAGTAGAGCAAATTTCACAAAGCCTGTGGATGCTCAGGAAATACTTGATAATGAGTGAGTTTAATGTGTCTGATTGGGGACCATTTCCCTAGTAAACTCCACACACAAAGGATGAGACAGCTGTAATTACAACAGGTGTAGAAATTTTCAATGAGTCACACAGATTAACCCAGGGAATTAAGTATCTCTTACACACCTTTGATAATAGCCAGTAAATATGTAAATAGCTTTTGTTTTCTCTACAGCACTTATTCTTGGACCAAATTAAATTCTTCCTCCATCTAAATTCCTTCTCCAGGAGTGTTAAATGGAGACTTCTGTGCACACACACACACACACACACACACACACACACACACACCTGGATCTTCTGTCATGGTCTTTTTACCCCTTTTCTTACTTTCTCTCTCTTTAAAAAAAAAAAAGTATTTTTTACTTCTTTTTTTTTTCCTTCTTTTTTCCATGCATTTGGCGTATCTTTGTGGTGGCCTCCTGTGTGCCATGGCCTACGTGTGGCAGTCAAGGGATAACTTACAGGAGTTGGTTCTCTTCTTCTGCTATGTGGGTCCTGGGGATCAGACTTAGGTCATCAAGCTTGGTGGCAAGCACCTCGACCCATTGAGCCATTTTGCCAACCCAGTTTTTTCCTTGATTTAAAGACCTTATTTACCCACTGTAGTTTTTTTTTTAATTCAATGAAATATGAAAAGAAAATCATAATCATTCATGGTCTCTCTGCTTTTAGGTTTCAGTTTCTTATATTCCATATTTTAAAAGTGGGCCTATCTCTGGAAATAGTTAGACTGCATCATTTTTATGAGCTGCCATGTGGGTGCTGGGAATTGAACCCAGGTCCTCTGCAAGAGCAGCAAGTGCTCTTAACTGCTGAGTCATCTCTCTAGCCTACCCCTACCCCCAGTTAATGTCTTATCAGAGACATTTCTCCCTGTCACTGGAAACCATCTTCACTTTTTACCAGATAATCCACCATTTCAATGTGCTTTGTTTTTCTCAATATGCAAAGTTCTCTGAGTCCTAATGGGCTATACAAACTTTCTCATAACTGTTTGTCTATTACCTTCCCCAGATGCTCTGTTTTTTCACATCCCAGTCTCACACTGACACTGTTGAGTGATGTCAGCCTAGCTGGTCTAAAATGAACGGGGTTCTGCGTCCTGAGCTGACAGATGAGAACAGAGCAGATTCAAGCCAAGCTGTCTTCCACCACTTGGGAGCTTCTCAGCTTAATGGGAGGCCACAGACATAAACTCTCAGCAAGTATTTAAAAAGCTTAAGGCAGAGCTCCTTTCCTTAAGTTAGAAGGCACCTGGGACAACGGGAAATATCAGGCAAGGGATGGGAGGAGGAAGTGGAGGAAGTGGCAGCCCCGCCCGATTCCATAATGGTAGGACAGAACGGCTCTAAATGCTCAGAGAGGCATCAGGTCTAGAATCCTAATGCTGGCTACTTGACTGACAGGAGGGAGATGAATCCCGGTGAGTACTGGCCATCTCTCTAACTTTTCTGAGTATTAAATCAAGAGAGGGGAGAAATCTAGAGGGGGGGGGGGTTGCAGGAGAGGATCAGAGAGCTTAAATGGGCAGTGGATGGTTCCCTGTATAATCTGTCTGCTCCTCCTATTTCCCCACCTTCATGTGGATCTTGGGGCACAAATCATACAGCTATTCATTTTCTTCCCTGAGGCTGTAAACAATCCTGTCTTTAAAATTAGGAGCTGGAATGGCCTTGGGAAGTTGAATGAAGACATATAAGCACAATTTGTTTAATACATGTATTGATTAGGATAACCCTACTCTCACTATGAGAGACAGTCCATTTTCACGTGCTGTCAACAAAATAGGTCGTTATTGTTTCAACTATTTTAATAGATCAAAGATGGATTTACTTATGGCTTTAGTTTTCATTTTTATGATTATAGCAACACTACTGTCTTAATATTTATAACCACTTTAATAGATGAGGAAGAAGACATTGATTTAACCTGTGCAACCAATGCAGGAACTGCTTTTTCTCTCCAGAAGCTATTGAAAACTGCTAGGTTCTGGGTGTAAACAATCCAACAAATAATCAGACAGACCTCAATAAGCAAAAACATTTCAAGAAAGTAATATAATGATTAACTGAAAAATAGGTGGCTCAGAGCCTAAGAAACTGCAGAGCAAGGAAATAGATCAGGTAAGGTAAGTTCTGTTCTGACCTACTGAGCTGAGGCCTTCTGGATACTTTGTTTTGTCTTTTGGTCTTTTGAGACAGGGTCTTCTATAATCCAGGCTGAGGATCACCTTGAACTTCTGACCTTATTGCTTCCCCCTCCCAAGTGCTGGGACCACAGGTGTGTGCCACCATCCCCAGGGTTTCATGCATGCTAGAAAGCACTCTCCTCAGCCCCAGCATCTGCACTCTTGGTGCCTTGGAATGAGGAGATAGAAATGGAGCAGTGATTTTCATGGTGCTGTTTGAGCACTCTAGGCCCCATAGAGGAGTCTGGATTGGGAGTGGGTTTCCCAGCTCTTCCAGTAGAACTGCTTCTCTTAGGTCTGTTCATTTCTTCACTTGAAGAAAGCACAAAAAAGGTTGATGGCTGTCTATGAGGAAAAGTTAAAAGACCTCCACTCTAGTACCACATGCCAGAGATGAAGAGCTAGGTTCTTTGCAATGTCAATTTTGCCACCTACTAAGTAAGTGACACTGGGCCAGTTACTTAACCTCACTGACCTTCCTTCTACTTACCTGTTACATGGAGGGAGTTGATAATAGCTCATGGGGTAGCTGTAGGGATAGAGCGACACAATGTACATATGCCTGGAGGTTAGTAACGCTTACTAAATACTACATACTACATACACAACTATCACTGCAGATACTAAGATGTCCCCATGTCTGAAATGCTTGGGAAGTATTTCAGGAAGAAATACATGCCAAGTTTTGCTTGAAAAGGTGATACAGTATAGACACAAAGAGCTTATGGAAAGCCCAGGCTGTCCAGGCACAGGCATGGTCTAGTTGGAGGTCACAGAAAGAAAGAAGCAGTTATTTTATGGGCAACTGGGAAATAAGATGGGAATATGTTAGAGCCACACTCTGGAGGGCTCTGAGTTCTTGGCCAAGGAATTTGGACTTAAACTTTTGAGTTATAAGACATTTTTATCCTTGTACACTTAAAGAAGCACAGAACAGTCCAGTAATCTTACCACATAGGAATTTCTTCATTAACTTTTGCACGGATATACTTATTTCAAGTTTTGAAAAGCAAAGAAATGAAAAAGAAGTATATATTAAAGTTCTCAAACCAGTAATAAAGAGAAAAAGTTAGAACAAATGTAAAGATGGAAGGAACAAATTGACCTGGTCCTTGGTGGCAGACAGAGGTCAATTCTCATGCTGGTTGTGACACATGTACCTTACACTTTGGTGTCTCCACCTGAAGCATCCCAGGTCTCAGCAATGTATTCCTTTACTGGTTCTGATCTTCACCTACACTGGCTGGGGCCTTAGGAAACCCTGCAAATCAAGGTATTTCAACACATATTTATTACCTGCCACATACCACGGAGGCTGGTCCCTCATGCACATAGGGTGGTCCCTCTTTCCCTCTTCCCAACAGTTGCATGCAAGTCTTCAATTAACCTTCGACTTGGATTGTTGCAACAGAACTCTCTCTGCCTTCTCCACCCTCGTCTTTTTCCCCTCTGGTCTGCGTTAAACACCACAGCTAAACTAATCCTGAAGTACAGCTTTGATGCTGCCACTCCTGCTCAAAAACCTGTCTTTAATCAAAGTAACTCTTCCCCAAATGGCAAAGGAACACCTGTTCAAAACAAAAGCTTAGGAAACTGAACTCGAAGGAAAGGGAAATTTCCCACAATTTCCTGTAATATACTGTTTCTGTCCTTTTTATTTTACTTTTTCCTATCTAGGGAAATATTCTCTCCTATTCTTTGTGTGTATGTGTGTGTGTATGAGTTTGCACGTGTGTGGGTGCATGTGTGCATGTACATGTGGAGGCCAGAGTTTAGTGTCAGGTATTTTCCTCCATTGCTCTTTACCTTATATATTGAGGGTCTTTTGCTGAACACAGAGTTTACAGGTCTCTCACTGAACCCAGAGCTTGCTGACTCAGATAGTCTACCTAGCCAGTTGTTCCAGGGATTCCTGTCTCCAAAAAGTCTTTTTACGTATACTCCCATGGTCCATATATGAAACAATCTATTTCTATATGCCTTCAACAAAGGCTATTGTTATTATTTTAAATATTTTAATAGATCAAATATGGATCTCTTTATGAGATATGCTGTTTTAGTTTATATTTGTGATTCCAGAAGTCTGTGTTCTTAATCTTTACAGTCACTTATATATATTTTGAGCTACTGTAATCTCTTTTTACTATCCTTTGAATGGATCACTCCTTGAAACTCCTGCACACATGCACTTGTCCATTCAGTAAACATTACTTAGCTTCCACCTATCAAGGAAGGCAGGAGATGGTGGAGATTAAGGGGCAGGCTCTGGAGCCACTTGGGCTTGAATACCAGTTCTGCCCAATATCTTCCTCCATGTCAGGAACAATGTTAACACTCCATCACAGAGTGTTATGAGAATGACTGGCCTATAGTAAGAACTCCACAAGCACAACATGGTTTTCTGAAACTAGGTACTGTGCTAGGTTCTAAACCTGGGGGGATCCGGCTTCAAGATGACAAAGGTCTCTGTTTCTGTGGGACTAAGCTCTAGATGCTAGTCCGTGTGCTGCAGAAAACAAAGGTACTGTGGAAACAAGTGAGCGTGGAATGGAACATTCAGCAGCTAAGGAAATCCCCGTGCTGGGATTACCTTGGAGCCAAGACCCAAGTGGGGTTTGGAGCCCCTCATAAGAGCAGGGCTGTCCTAGGTTTTAGCTTTTTAAAAGACAGAAATTTTACTTCTCGGAATTCCTCACAGGCAGACAGCTGCCTTAATGTCTCTCTTTTTTTTTTTAAAGGCTGATAATGTATCAGGATATAATTTCATCCTTTTATACCCTAGTCTTTGTATTAATCAAGTAAGCGCCAGGAGTCTTGTGTCTGAGGCTTGCCTTTCCGCTTACTCATGCCATTAACTTCAGTGGGACTGTGGCCAAGTCAGGGATTGTGGGTGCTGACGTGGTTTCCTAATTGATTCTACTGGATTTCCCGCATTGTTGAGCCTCTTCCTGATTCTGCCAGCTTTCCTTTCTGGCTTCACTGGAAGCCCTTCCTTTTATTCTAAGTCATGTCTCCTTGACACGAAAAGCCCTTTAGTGAACCAAATGCATAATTATTAAGTGGAATAGAAAGAAAACCTAAGTGTCTAATGGAGAATGTGTTTCTCCATGCACTGCAGCCTTGGACTTGGAGAGAAGACATTGTCCCCCACCCCACCTCACATCCCCTTTGCTTTCCAAACTGAGAGAGGCTTGGCTAAAGGGAATGTTGAACAGGCTGCCCCTAAACTGTGTCTAGGTGTAAACAGCAGCCAGGAAAGGCTGGCCCAGCCCTATTCCCTCATGTACAAGCATGTTAAGACTCCAAGTACTTTCATGACTCTTTGGGGTACATGAGTTTTCAGGGCAGTGGGCCTCTCAGAGGAGTATGGATGGAGAGCTTCCTGGGAAGCTCAGTGGTCTTGGTATGAACACTTCTGGCCCCTCAAAAACATGAGATATAGTCAGTTTCCTATAGGATCTAGGCTAGTTGCTTTCAAACTTTCCACTATGAACTACAATTCACATCATGACTCATTTACATATAAAACTCTCCTTGCTTTTCTAGTGTGCTATGTGTTGTGATATTTTCTATCCTTCCTTCCCTCCCTCCTTCCTTCCTTCCTTCCTTCCTCCCTCCCTCCCTCCCTCCCTCCCTTCCTTCCTTCCTTCCTTCCTTCCTTCCTTCCTTCCTTCCTTCCTTCCTTTGTATGCGTGTATGAGTATGTGTAGGTAAGTGTACCATGTGCATGCAATGCCTGTGGAGGCCAGAAGAGGGCGTCAGATCCCCTGGAACTGGAGTTACTGACAGTTATTAGCTGTCACATGGGTGCTAGGAACAGCACCTGGGTTCTCTGCAAGAACAGCAAGTGTTCTTAACCACTGAACCATTTTCCAGCCCTTACTCTGTTTTTCTTATTGGTCATTTTTCTTTTAAAAAATTTTATTTATTGATTGATTGATCAATTGATTGATTGATTGTGTATATGTGTGACAGCACCCATATGAAGGTCTAAGGACGACTTGTGAAAGTCAGTTCTCTCCCTCCAGCATGTGGGTTTCTAGGATTGAATTCAGGCTATCAGCAATCTTGTCAGTCCTTGGCCACCTTTCTTAATATTTACCCCATAACCTACTAATAGGTTGGACCTAATGGATTTATGTTGACAGTAAGCATTATCATCAAAAACGGCAAAGCACATGCAAAGTGAGCTGCACTATTACTGCTGCTCAGGGTAACTAAGAATTACTGGGTGTTTTTCCCATCTTGGTAAAATGATGATGTTCACATATACATCCTTACTTAAGGCCCACATAAACTCTGGGAAATAGGAATACAATTATCTCACTATTTTTCAGGCCAAGATACTAATGTCTAAGGGTCTTAAGCAGCTTGTTCAAAGTCTCACAAGCCATTTACTGAGGGATAACCCAGGGCCAAGTCACTCCAGATCTGCACTCTTGCCCACTGTGCTACACACAGCAGGTGTAAACCTGCAGTGCCTTTGTCATAGACCTGAAACATGATTGATAATCATAAAGTCAGTTCCAAGTAATCATGAGCCTTGCCTGTACCCAGAAGCAAGAATTCATCCTATACCAGTTGCCCAGTCTCCAGTCAGCTCATTGGCTTCGTTCATACAAAATTCCCATGTTTATTTTTACTTCAGCAGGATGATAAAGCAACTTTCTATTATCTGGAATCGTTTTTCTCTCTGGGACAACAATCCTCCAGCTCTGTGACTCTGGGTTCAGGTTTGGAGGCCACCAGGATTGATAGTCTCCCCATCCTTGGCTAGGATCTGCTAGATTTCCCATTGAGGTTGAGTCATGAAATTAGGAGGCCAAGAGGCTTTCAAAAGTCTAAAAACTGGGCAGGAATCTTACTGTGACAGAACCAGGTTCCACAGAATGACTCCAGTTGTTGCAGCTGAGCACTGACCTGTCCTCTTTCTCTAAGTGGCAGCCCTGGAGCTGAAGTCTGTGGACCTGCAGATCCCTAGGAACAAGAGGGACCATCACACTCAGGAGATAAGCTTAAATAAGTTGATCCTGCGCCGAGGCCAGTCCTTCTTGCTAAAGCTGACCTTCAACCGATCTTTCCAGCCCCAGACAGACCAACTTATCTTTGAGACCCAGACAGGTGAGCTCGCCCTGTCCCCAGGTTCCTTGGGTTCCCTTAGAACAGGTTGTTAGCAAAGTTAACCTGTAGGGCTCCTGACTTTCCTCTGGGAAGTACCCACGCCTCTTTTGGGACCCCATAGGATGCTCATACTCAGTACTATGTAAAAGATTGGGCCAGGTGAGCAAACTGTGAAGTTGAAGCCATGACAACCAAAATTTAAGTACATAGGTAAAACTTCCCAAACACCGTCTTTTAATCCTCATGGAGACTTTCAGGTTAATATTATTATCCCATTTTATAGGTCAGGAGGGAAAAAAATCAGAGATTCAAAGATCTTGAATGGTTTTCCCCAAAACATCCAGTGGCAGTAAAAAATAAAACCAAAAATACCCTTTAAGCCAAAAAGACTTCAGCAAGTGGTGGGAGAAGGGGGTGGGAGGTTTCCAAGCCACAAAGAATCATACCACATAGATTTTTGAGCCTTCCTCTGGGATATTTCTCTCTTACTTAGGACCAGAGTCCACAGAGCTGCTGGGGACACGAGCCACATTCTTGCTCACCCAGACCCAGCCTGGGAATGTCTGGAGTGCTTCCGACTTCGTCATTGACTCGAACTGTCTCCAAGTCTCACTTTTCACGCCAGCCAACGCCATTATTGGCCACTACACATTAAAGGCAAAGATTTCTCAGGGACAGGGTCCTGGTGTGACTTACCCACTGGGAAGCTTCACCCTGCTTTTTAACCCATGGAGTGAAGGTAGGACTTGCTCCCAGTTTGTAGTGCTTACTTGACCTCTATGAGGCTCTTCTGAGAAAATCTGACAGATAAACGATTACAGCTCTGTATAACATATTACTATGTACTCCAACTAAAAAAATCTTTTTTTTTCTTTTGTGTGACAGGATCTTGCTGTGTAGTTCAAGTTGTCCTTGAACTCTTGATCCTCCTGCCTCAGCCTCCTGTTAGGATCATAGAAATCACTTTTGCAAAGATTTTTTTGTTTTGTTTTGGGTTTGGTTTTTTTGAGACAGCTTCTCCCTGAAGCTCCAGCAGGCCTGTAATTGCTATGTAGACTGAGCTGGCTTGGGTCTCACAGAGATCCACCTGCCTCTACCTCCCAAGGGCTAGTACTAAAGGTATGCACCACCACACCTGGCCTTACAAAGATTTTTTAATGGCATGATGAAAATATCTATGCTGTGATGTTGTGAGATGATTTCTCAAGTGGCATACAATTTGGTTCTAACGAATTAAGTGTATCCGTGTATGGATAGTGGACAAAATAAATTACAGTGCAATGGTGGGTGTTTCTGAGTAGTGGGAATAAGTGATTTTTTCCCCCTGCCTACCTGTATTTTCTGAAATTGTACATAACTTTGCAATTTTTGAAATCTATAAACTATGTTGTTGGCCTCTGAAGGACATGGTTGACTTTTAAAGGGCTCCCATCTTATCATTTATTGACAAGTAATCTACTGATTCTTTCTGTTTCCAGAAAGATACTGTTGTTACTTTTCTGCTCTGGTTTTTAATTTTCTGCTCTGTTTTTTTGCTTTGGGGCTTTGCTCCCTTTACTGTTCTTTACTGTTTAGAGGATGACGTCTACCTGCCCAGTGAAACACTGCTGCAGGAGTACATCAGGAGTGATTACGGCTTTGTTTGCAAGGGCTATGAAAATTCCATTACCTCCAGGCCCTGGAACTACGGACAGGTAAAGGCACTGCTTGAAGGTGGGCCTGGGGTGGTCTTGTTAGTGCTGTTAGTTCATGAAAGACAGCTAACAAAGGGCACAGTGTGGGGTGCTGGCCAGTTTTCCAGCCAATGAGAAGGGCAAGTGAGGAAAGGGAGGTGCCTTTTCTTTCAAGCTTTTTGTGTTTTGTTATAAAACGTATAAAACACCATTCAAGTAGATTAACAACTATAATGAACTTTGACGTTCCAGTCTACCAGTTCCAATAGACTCCAATTATGGTGAGTCTTTCATTCCTCCAAAATTTGGAAGCAATAACCTATGGGCCAATGTAGCCCCAGCTGTCCTGGAACTCACTATGTAGACGAGGCTGGCTTTGAATGCACGGAGATCCGCCTGCCTTTGCCTCCCAAGTGCTGGGATTAAAGGCGTGTGCCACCACACCAGGCATAATTTTTAAATTATTTTTATTTTATGTGTATGAGTGTATTGCCTGCATGTAAGTGAGTGCACCCGTGTCGGGCAATGCCACGGAAGTCAGAAGAGGGCTTCGGACTCCCTTGGAACTGGAGTTAAGGATGGTTCATAGCCATCATGTGGGTGCTGGGAATCAAATCTGGGCCCTCTGCAAGAGCAGTCAGTGCTCTTAAACGCTGAGCCATCTCTCCAGCCCTGCTTACTTCTTTTTAAAAAAATGTTAGAATTAGCACTCATTTATGTGTGCATGTGTGTTGGTGCATGCATGCCATTGCATTCGTGGAAGTTGGAGAACAGCTTGAGGGAGTCAGTTCTCTCCTACCAGCATGTGGACCCTGGGGATCGAACTCAGGCCATCAGGCTCCGTGGCAGGTGTCTTCGCCTGCTGAGCCATCTCGCCATCCCCCTGTTTCTTTTGAGGCAAGGTCCTACCATATCTCCCAGGCTGGCTTTTAATCTTCTATGTAGCCCACACTGACCTTATATTGTAATCGTCCTGCTTCTGGGCTGGGCTACTACCCATTCTTATATGGTTCACAGTGAAGAATGGCTTTCACACTTTACAACTGTTGAAAATTTTAGTTTTAAAAATTCATTTATTGGTCAGGCGTGGTGGCCCATGCCTTTAATCCCAGCACTCGGGAGGCAGGGGCAGGCGGATCTCTGTGCGTGGTTCAAGGACTGCCTGGTCTACATAGTGAGTTACAGGACAGCTGGGGCTACAGGGAGACCCTGTCTCAAAAAGACCAAAAAAAAATTCATTTATTGTTACGTGTTTGAGTGTTTAGCCTGCATGTGTGTAAATGTTCCTGTGCAAGCAGTGCTTGTAGAGGTTAGAAGAGAGCGTTGAATCCCCTGGCACTGGAGTTACAGGTGGTTGTGAGCTGCCATGTGGGAGCTGTAAAATGAACCTGGGTCCTCTGCAAGAGCAGCCAGTGCTCTTTACTGCTGGGCCATCTCTCCAGTCCCTTGAGATGATTTTCAAAAGAATATTGTTTTGTAACTTTAGATATTATATAAAGTTTGAATTTCTGTGTCCATAAATGCCATTTCACTGGGACACAGGCAGGCTCCTTGCTATGGATTTTATATAAGGCCTTCACGCTGTAATGGCAGAGGTGAGCTGAGACAGAACCTCTGGCCTGCCAGGACTGAGATATTGACTACCTGTCTTTTACAGGAAAAGTGTAACCAGCCCTGGTCTGTGCTCCTCAATTTCCCTCCTCACCATTGTATTTTTGGAAGGAAATGACAGATAATATATCATTTAATCCAATAACACTTGAGAATATAGCTCCAGAGTGTGGTGATTCTTTCTAAAAAATGTAAACACATGGTCAAAACTGAAAAAATCAAACAGCAATTCTTTTTTAAAATTTTTATTATTTTTATTTTTTATGTGTCTGAGTGTATTGCCTGCATGTAAATGTACCTGTGTCATGCAGTGCCTGCAGAGGTCAGAAGAGGACGTCGGATCCCCAGGCACTGGAGTTATGAATGGTTGTTAGCTGCCCTGTGGGTGCTGGGATTCAAACCTAGGTCTTCTGCAAGAGAAGTCAATGCTCTTAATGCTGAGCTATCTCTCCAGTCCCCTGAACAGCAACTCTTTAATAACATCACAAATCTAGTCACTGCATAGAGGGGGACTTTGGCTATGGAAGACTTCCCCATTCTCAGCCACCTACCATGTGTTTGCTCTCTTTGTACTGGTATGCTAGCTCCAGGTGGTGGCAGTGATGGGTGGGCAGCTTGTTGAGGAAGACCATACTCTCGCCATTCCTCAACTGTGGAACCCTGTGCAGTTTTTTGAAGCTGAGATAGAGAGGAGTGCATTTGGCAGCGAAAGAGTTGCCATTTATGTTATAAACACGTGTTGTAACTTGTACCGGTCTTTTCAGTGCATGCAACATTAGCTCTGAGCACCTCTGCCCAATTCTAGTACTCCCCACAGTCTTCCCTCTCCTCTCAAATGTTTGTCCTGTACTCATCCAAGAGGCTTTTCCCTGCTCTCACAAACCTTCCAGACACGTGACTTTGGTCCTTGAGACCTGCCATGCTCAAATACTTCAAGTAAATGTTCTCACTCACCTCTCCTGTTTACCCCATCATTTTAAGGGCACAGGGTGAGTGTGTGTGTGGGGGGGGGGGGGGGGGGGGGGGGGGCACCACAAGTATTGGTTAACTTGCGACCAACACGGTTTTCTTCTTTATTTTGTTATTTGATCTTTTATATCTTGTCAACACA